ACCATCTTTTTGCTCGGCACTCTTCCTGTGAGTGACCTCTCAGTCTATGACTTCTCGAATGTGTATGCCCCCTTCCTTCTTTAAAGAAAAGAAAGGCCTGTTAGCAATGAATAATCTAATGGCATCCTGCTGGTGTTCCCTACTGCTCCTTGTCGCTCCTTCTTTCAAATATGTGTTGTCACACACAAGTATAATGTCTGCAGCTCAGGCACATTAACAGACATCCCCACCCAGCCTGCCCTTAATTAAGGTGCCAACCCCACGCCTCATTCCCAGCGGTGAAGGAGAGATTGCCCCTTACATCACTCAAGCCCATTATTCTCTCTTCTCCCCACGACATATGTAACTTCTTGATGTTTTTTTAGCTCAGGGTTTAAGCCAAGACAAGACATATTTAGCATTTTAAGATTAATATTATATATCCTCTACGTTTACAAGGCTAGACACCCTGGGGATTCACATTTAATAGATGTTAATGGAATTTAATTTTATACATGCTAGGTATGAACATCTGTCTCCTAAATAAAATAGTATAAAATCTTATGTGGCACCAAGAAATCTCCAAAACAAATTGTTTTTCACTCTGTAACCTGAAATTGAGTTACTGAGCAAAGCAGAAAAGCTGTTTCTTAATATGTGGAATTTAAAACCTGAATATAATTATCATTCATTAATTTCACTGAGTGCCAGTGCTAAGTTAACTTTGCACTTTGAAATCTGAAACCATGTCATATAGTGATTGTCATAGTTCTGAAACAGTACCTAAAATAAAACTCTCTCCACAACTGGTTTTCCCAGTGACTTTCATTAGGCAAGGAATCTTCCATGCAAAAAAGTCTCGCCTCAAATATATTAAGTAGTAATCAATATGATATATATTTTGAAATTTTTATCTAAAGGAAAACAATTCTTAGAAAGCATTATCACTCAAAAATATCTTGTAAAGTTAAACATACTTGACAACACATGCTAGGTAAATTAATTTGGAATTCAAGGCTGTACCTAGGATCATAAAAGCCACTTATTTTTAAAGTACTTTTTTGTCTGCATGTCAAATATAATTTAATATCAAATTTTGGCTAATGTTATCATATATAGAATTTGTATATAGTAAAGATAGAAGGCAGAACCTTTGTACCTTTGTAATCTTCACAATTCGTGAACCAGCATATAAAAAACTACCAGTTATTCTGTACATATTTTAAATGCTGAAATCTCTTCAGTTACAATTAATGAAGAAAAACTCTTTTTGCTTCAGTGCCCCGTACTGAAGTGCCTATTTAATAAACATATGATGAGTTTTAAAAATCATTTATGATTTTAAATAAATGATTTTGACAGTAGCCAGGTGCTCACAGCAAAAATGAGGTCATGCAGTGTACTGCAATGAGCCATGCAAGGGACAGAGCTGAGTTCTTGTCCCAGTTCTGTCACCCATTAGCTGTGTGATCTTAGATAAGTTACTTGACCCTCCTGGACCACTTATTTCCTTCATATAAATTTGGATGTCAGAGATAATAGCAAATAATGTTTGAGCTCTAAAAGGCTACAGTTCTAAATCTTTAAATTGTTCTTTCTTGTTCTTGGCAGCTTTATTGTGGACTTCATCCATATGTGTCTACAGAAAAGTAGAGTCATATTTAGACTATAGAAGTTCTGCTTTGTGCTTTCACATGTTAGCCTCTAGAAAAAAAATATTAAAAGGTTTAATATGCTAAGGCAGGTGGTGGAAAGGAAAAAGATTCCAGGGTTCATACAGAAGACTTGAGCAAGTGGGGGGAAGAGAAGGGAACCCTGGAAAGGAATCCTCTATAGCTCAGACTAATGAAGTCTCCAGATAGCAAGTTTCTCAAGAGGTCAAAATGAGGAGGTTTTATTTATGACAGATTAACAGATTATTAGTTCATAAAAGGTGTCCCTTCCAGAAAGAGCACCAAGATGCTTTATTTCCTAATTAGATGGTTTTCTGCACATAAATAAAGGAGAATCACTGCTGCCTGTCAGGGAGACCCTCTGACAAGACAGGGTCCTTCTTGTCTCTGTCCTGATTTACAGTATGACCTTGGGCAAGTCATTCATCTTCCTCTAAACCAGTTTCCCTAATTATAAAATGGAAATAAAAATACTCACTGCCTTGGCTGAAGATTAATGAGACAAGATGAATCTCCCTAGGCTCCCAGAGGGTAAAGCTTGTGTATAAGAAGGCAAAGAACTAGTAAGAAGCACTGTTGGACTTTTCACACAACAGGGAGAATAAAAAACCAGGTCAATAAAATCCTCTTCCTTTAAGTTTCCCGGTCTGAAAAAGAAAGAACCCAGTGTTTCCTGCTCATTACAGCACACCTGTAATTGGTGATAACTCTTGGGCAAATTAATGTTTTGGTGCCTCGATTTCTTCTCTGTAGGATATTGGATAATAATCCTACTCATCACATATGTATAGATAATACATATAGATGCCTTGCATATACTGATTTCCCCACAAATGTTTGTTTATAACCTCTCTTAGACCAATTCAAACTAGGAAATATTTTACTCTTAAAACTCAAGTTTTTATGAGAGAACACTGGGATGTAAAGATTAACATTATGTAAATATTGGTACTTAAATTTTTTTTTGTCGTTGTAGATGGACAGAATCCCTTTATTTATTTTTGTGTGGTGCTAAGGATTGAACCCAGTGCTTCATACGTGCTAGACAAGCACTCTGCCACTGAGCTATAGCCCTAGCCCAATATTTGTACTTTTAAAAGGTGGCGGGAAACTGGTAGCCATAAAACCCAATGCCTTCTGCTTGAATAAAATGAGTTTGGAGGACTTGGACAACGCCTTAAAAATTCGCCAGTGCGGACACGAGGGGGCACTGTGCGTCCGCTTTGGCGAGGGAGAGGCGGCCACCCGCGCGGGGCTGGGAGGATTGAGAGCATCCAGCATCCCAAGGCCCTGGCGCCTGGCGCTCCACCAGCGCCACAGATCCTAACCCCGACTCAAGAAAGGGCCGCCTGGGTGATCCAGGGCTGGGAGCGCTCTCATCCCCACAACTGTTCGCGTTCGTCTTTCCCTTCCCTGCCGAATATAAGGTTTTCTGGCAGCTGTTTTTAATATTAGATTCGCTGAGTTCCGGAGCTAGGGAATCCGGAACCAACTGCAAATGTAAGGGAACATTTTGGGCGCATCTACATCGCGCACCTCGGCATAAAGGAAAAAAGCTGTCAGATTCCGTAAGGGGTCCGTGTCCAAAGATGTGCTTGAGTTCTTCCAATTTAGGGAAAGAGGAACGCCCGCCTCTCCCCGCCACACACACGCCCAAAGGCTAAACACGCAGCAGACTGGGAAACGACTCTAACATCACTACTTGTCCACTTCTCAGTGTCAGGGCGACAAGCTGGCACACCCCACGAACACGCCTTCCAAAAAAGGGTCCAAGGCAGGTCCCGAATGAAATCTTTCAGGTCTGAAGTTGAACCGCACTTGTGCTAAAAGGAGACAGTGTGGCCTCGGTCCAAGATTCTTAACTACTCTTAGTCCCCCGCCAAAGAGGCGTGATACCGGTAAAGTGATCCAGGCAGGATCTGTTCCACCTGACGCTTGGGTCCCCATCTCCTAAGGTAGCTCAAGCAGGATGAGGAGACTCTAGGGATTTTGCTAGTCTCTAGAGAGAAAGTGTCGCCGGCGGAGGTTGTCCTAGCGTCCCCTCTGTTACTAGAGGCATCTGGTTTATTGATTTCTTTGCGATCCTTGGGCGGACGAAGCGAGGGCCTGCTCTGATTCCCGGGCTCCAGGACCGAACACCTCGCTTGTCCGTTGAAAGTCATGTCACCCAGGGCGCTCGGATAGAATACAGGGTGGGGAGACCTGAGAAAGAGCATAGGGCAGGAGAGGGTGAGGGTAGCCAGCTGAAAGCAGAGCAGAACAGGCGGTTGCACTGGCCAAGGAGAAACCACAATCCATCCTAAACTTTCGGATATCTGGGAGCCTGGCAAGAATGAGCCAAGCGGGAGCAACAGCAGCCTCTCCACGCCGGCGTGCCCAGCTGTAGCAGGAGGTGCTGCACGCAGCGCGGGCTGGACGCGGGCGGTCCCCACGTCGCGCCCACCCGCCTGCCAAAGCGCCGCCGCTCTGTTCGGGACACAGAGCGAGTGACCACAGAAACAGCCAGATTGCGGGCTCCAGCCTTCACAGGAGCTCCGAGGAAGGAAGGGGGATTCAACGCGGATCGGAAAGGGAGAGAAGATACTTGATTTTGAAACCTTGCCTAGCTCTGTGTGGGTGGCGGGGTCTTGCCCTTGGGCGGCCTTGGGCACGCAAGCTGAAGTCAGGTAGACTCCGGAAGAAGTGAGCGCAGAGACTTTCACGGGCTAAGGAAGTCGAATTTAAAAAGAAATGTGGAAAGCAATCCAGGGTGGCCACTGGAGCCCGGTAGCTTAAAAACCACCCGATCCCCACTAGGAGGACGACAGTGACTGGCACTCGCGAAGACTCGGCGCTCCCGGGCAGCCGCTGGTCTGCGCGGAGAAGCCGCCTCCCCAGCGTGGGGCGCGCGTGCAAACGCCAACCGCGGCGGGCAGAAGGCGAGATGCGGCGCGCGGCCGCCGGACTGTCCGGGCTGGGGAAACTCTGGGGCTGCGCCGCTGGGTGCTGACCCAGGGCAGGTTCGAGGGGTGTGCCCGGCCCCGCCCGCCTCCGCCCCCTCCTGCGCCCCTCCCAGTGGCGGCGGCGCATCCAGGGGCGGTGCGGAGCGCAGCGGCTCGCTCAGCCGCCAGCTCCTGCGAGCTCCGAGGCTGCTCCGGGAATTCACTTTGCTGCTTTTAACGTGTCTCTCTCTCTCAGACCGCTTCGAATGGCTTTCGGTCTCAGGCCTGATCGTTTCCTTTAACAGGAAAACTTTACTGCGATTTCTTTTTCCCCTTCGAGGAGAGGATTAAAAGTTCCACGAACTGGTGCCGCCCGTGCCGCTTGGGCGCTGGGAAGGTGTTCGCTGGAGGGGTTCTCAGTCCCACCATGTGCACCAACATAGTTTACGAGTGGCTGAAAGCGCTGCAGCTCCCGCAGTACGCGGAATCCTTCGTGGATAACGGCTACGATGACCTGGAGGTGTGCAAGCAGATCGGAGATCCGGACCTGGACGCTATCGGGGTGCTGGCGCCCGCACACCGCCGACGCATCCTGGAGGCCGTGCGCCGGCTGCGGGAGCAGGATGCCGCCGCCGCGGGCCTCTACTTCACACTGGAGCCGCAGCCCGCGTCGCCGGGGCCTCCAGCGGACGACATGCCCCCCTGCCGCCGGGGGGAACCGTGCGGCGGCCCAGCCCAGGGTACCTGCGGAGACCCCCGCAGCCAGACGACCGCCCCCCGGAGTAGGGAGCTGGTGAGCTACCCCAAACTGAAGCTGAAGATCATGATCAGGGATAAACTCGTTCGAGATGGCATCCACCTGAGCAAGCCCCCTTACTCCCGAAAGGTAAGGAGGCGCCGCCCAGGCGGCCCGGGCGGGAGGAGGGTGGGGACAGATCCAGACTGCTTGCGCCGGGCTGGGCAGCCCATTCCAGGTGACAAGGGGAGGGCAGGATGGTTTGGGTGTCTGGAACTCTTCTCTTTTCTGTTATCTCTTTATTCCTTCCTTCCTTGTGTCACTAGTGGTTGATAAGACAAGATCCAGCACTCGGATATTAACTCAAAACTAGCTCGGATTCTCTGCGTAGTCATTGGGTCTCATCTGTTAGGGGTTGTGGACTTGGAGTTGCTTCTGGTAGTAGGGGGATTCCCAACGTTTCTGTGGTGCTTGGGTCTTCAGGATACCAGAAAACATGGTCAACACCGAACATTATATTCAACCTTCCTTTTCTTCTTTACTTTTCCGAGTTTTGATAAACTCCCCAAAGAAATAAATTGATGAACTCTCTTGAATAAAGAGTGGGAAGTTGGGCCCAGTTGCTCTCAGTTCTATAAAATAAATAACCCGGCCGCTGCTGCAGATTTGAGGAGTGTACCATTAACCTGAACATCCTTGGGAGGGAGTTAATGAAACACGAAACATGTGCCCATGCACTTGAGTGAGACGCCTTCTTTGAACTTAACTATCCCGTGTTTGGTAATGAGGAACTGAAGACATTGGGAAATATGGGGCCAGAGGGCGCCCTTTGGAGGTCTGTGGTGTCAACTCTTTGGCTGTTATTGATCCAGATGAGATGAAGTAGGTACAACTGTGACTTACTTCTAGAGAGTCTGAGGTGACATTTCACTTTCAAGAGAGGATTCTGCAAGGGGGCATGAAGGGGTGGGGAGCACCTTGGAAATGCTCACAGCTGCTCTGGGAGCAAGGCTGAAATGTGCAGTGGGCTTTGAATAATTAGGTAACAGAAAGTACTGTTTCACCCTGGAGCTCTGCCTCTGTCTCTTGGGTTAGTCCAGTTGAGGTTTCTGCAGCTGTCCACAGAGGCCTGACTTGACAGGAAATAAACAGCATAGGTAACCAACCTCGCCTAGATTGCACAGGAAAATGAACACCTCAACTTGAAAAATCAAGACTGGAAGAAGCCCAGGGAGAAAATGATGGCAAGGATGCTCATCTGACAGGGACTGAAAACGGCACCCTGGTGGGGAAATGGGGATGATCTAGTGTTTTGTGGGCATCTGGGGCCCTTGAATTGCTTTATATTCTTAAGTGTTGGTTATAATGCCTGGATTTAAGAAAGTTCAAGTGAAAGCTATGTAATAAGCAGATGGAAATATAGGGTTTGATATTATCCATCTATTATCTTGCAGGTAAGGGAATAACCTGCTTGAGAATATAAGTTGGTTTTTATTATTAAGAAGACAGGTCAGGAGGACAGTGGGCCTCCGTTTAAACATACGTTCCAGTTCCCTGCTCTGACAGTACTATTGATGTGTGCCAGGAGCAAGAATGGATGCAATTTGCCAAAGCAGTTAGCATTAGGTAGAGAGGGATCCTGGTCAGTCATACAGGAAGTTACTCCTGGAAGAAAGGAGGGCCAAGCCAGCTCCATGTTTGTTATTAATTGCCACCAGAATGTAGGTGGGCTTAGACTGAGAGACTGTAAGTACCTGGGCATGTGGTGAGGGCGCAGTTCAAGTCCTGGCCACAAAGGGCAGCAGACGGAAGGTGTGTCACTAGGGCTTGCTTAGTCTTCAGGAAAGCTGTGAGGTGACACAGCTGAGGAGGTGGGAGGCTGAGGACCTGGGTGATAGGAGTTGGCACTGTAATGTGTGTTAGTTCTGATCCTTACTGACCCAAAGACAGGCCTAAATATCAAACTTGGAAACTGTAAAGGATTTTAAGAATATGCAGTGTCTGACTGTAGGCTTTGAAACTGTGGACTCCTGCCTAGATCAGAGAGTGATAAAGCAGTGTGTTTTTCTAAGTTAGATTTATGTAAGAAAATTTTCACTTGCCTTGTTATGCTATTTACTTTCCACATAAAGAATTATTTCATTCAACTTTCATATAAATACAATAATGTTTGCTAATAAAGATATGGCCTGTTCATTTTCTGTACATACTAATTCTCTTTCTTGAACTGATAGAAGGATAAAAATGGGAGCAGAAGGGTTTTCATTACCTCCTTCATAGGTGCTCCAGCTGGGGACACCCCCCAAAAAAAAATCAAAGCTGACAAACTTTCTTGTAAGAAAGAATAACTCACTTTGCCAAAAATTAAAATATAATTAAAGGACATGAAACCGCATAGAGGTGTGTAGTAGCAGATCCTGTTCATTTGGAATTTATTGCATGTGTATTCATTGCTTCCTAAGTTGTGGATTTAAATTATTTAGGGATTTTTTTTTTCCTTATGCACCTCATTCACTCATAAGCAGTTCAGGGAATTTTTCTTTAAAATGTGATCTGCATTATAATTTTTCCAGATTCCTTAGCTCTGTCATGATCAGCATGTGTAATATTTGTTGTGTGCATTTGGAATTCTGCTTGGAAGATAGGCTCCAGCCTCCTTTATGGTCATTTGCATTGTTGATCCTTGTGGTTTTATGCTTTGGTGAGAATATTAGATGGCTTAAAAGTGGATTATATCAAGGATGATCAGAGCATTTTTCCAAGAGTCACCAGGGTGGATTGTAGGATTTGCTCCAGTAACTATTCAGGTTTCTTGGTTTAGTAATCAGTGATTTAATATGGAATTAAAAAGCAAGTTTCTCCTTGTTTCCCAAAGGGAGTCTGTAGCTTTGGAAAACCAGGAGCTTTGAAAGAGCACCAGCTTTGAAATTGGAGATGAATCCCTCATCTGCTCTGTAGCTAGCTTCTTTGACAGCTGTGATTGTTGCCTTTACAAATAGAGATTTTTATATGTATATATATTTTTTTAAACCAAGCTTCTCTATGTCATGACCTCTCTAGGTTACTGTGGTTGACGGGATGCAGAAGGCCTGCCCTCAGAGATCTTGGGATTTAGCAGAGAGAAAATAGATAGAACAATAATGATGACTTGGAACAGTTGTACCCAGGTTAATTTTCAGGGACTGGTGATCAGCAAGGTCAGAGGAAAAGAGGAGGAAGTCCTATTTAGAAGTCCTGTTTAGAAGCCACTTGAAGCTCTGTTTTCAAGGAGGAAGTGACTTGTCAGAACAGGCAAAGATTCTAGTATATCTTGGTGAAATAGCAACCATGCCAACAAAGGCCTTTACAATAGACAATGAGAGTGGAGACATGGGGCATGCCCCTCTCTAAAATAGAGTTTGAGAAGGTGGATCTACAGCCACTGGAGGAAGAAGGGAGACTTTAGGTCAAGGGAAGTGTTTCGTGGGCTTGTGTTTGAGAATGAGAGAAACCGGAACATGTCTAAGTGTTCATGGCAGTGGTGAGAGAAGGGGAGACAATGAAAGTATGGGAGGAATGGGAGAATTAGAGGTTAAAGGAGAACATTACTGATGTACAAATGTTAGTGGCTGTGATCAGATTTTTTAACCATGCCTAAATATAAACACTATGCAATAAAACACATAGAATTAAATACAGTTACACAGAGAAAGGTATCCTTGCCGTATATTCGTACCACAGGTTATAGGTTATGCATGGTGTTTCATTGAGTTCTATGAAGTGTAACAATGCTTGTGAAGGGGTCTGGGGTAGGTGTGAATGGTAACAGGGCTTTAAAGATTCTTTCCACACTTGAAATGGTAGAGTGCAGGCCCCAGGGAGGTAGGAGGTGGAGCAGGCTTCTAGGCTTCTGGACTGAAAGTACCTCTTGCCACATCTATCAGCTGAAACTATTTGAGTTAGTATGACTTATTGAATAATGCTGGAGAAGTGTTGTTCTTCATTTGTACCTTAGTGCTAAATGAACTAATTAACAAGACTCCATGGTAAGAGGGCTCTCTATGGATACTCTGGAGGGACAGCCTAGAATGGAGGAATTTAGAGATGCAGAGGTGGCACGAAGGTTTCTCTGTATGGAGGAGAGAAGAAGGATTTAGAAAGGAAGGGGAGATGCCGGCGACAGACACACTTCTGTCATTTGGAGACCTGCCTGGGGTCGTGGCAGAAGTTGAAATGATAATAAATATTGCTTCTCCCAAGAATTCCTTCTGCCTTCATGATATTACCAGGACAGATTGGAGACTGGCAAACTTAAGATTTTCCCAGGTCAATCAAGATCCTCAAGTGTCCTCAGCCTAGATCCTAATGGGCTTTTTGTCTTTGGTCCCTGATTGGAGAACTGAAGGAAGAAGGGATGGGACACAGACAAGAGCTTGGGCGGTGGTGGGGCTGCTGCTTTTCTCTTGCTCCTGTGGTTCTGTGTATGGAGTTTCTGTGTAAGTGGACCTGCAGACATCCTCCCGTCTGTTCATCTGTCTCTGTCCATCAACCCATTGTTCATTGATCCATACACCCATCCTCCCATTTTACCAATACTGAGCATGTGCCATGTGCTAGGTTTTCGGACTGGGATTGCAGGGAGCTAGACAGATGTGTGTTTATATGTGGAGGGCCTAACCCAGGATTTGGCCTGAAGTAGCTACATTATATCAAAGTTAGTTCTACAAACCTCAGGGGTTAGAGATTTTACACTTGTGTTCCTTTCAAATGTTAACAAAAGTTCAACTTTGGTGAGAACTTGAGTAAAGGTAATGAAAGATGAAGTTAAAAGTCAAAACATGTTTATTTCTTAAGTGTTATTGGAGAAGGACTGGGAATTAAAGTGCTGGTCCTCGGTTCAAATGGCAGTCTTCAAGGATACAAATCATAATAAATGCTGGCAAGGATGTAGGGGAAATGGTGCACTGAAACATTGTAGGTAGGACTGCAAATTAGTACGACCACTTGGGAAAGCAGTATGGAGATTCCTTAAAAGCCTAGGACTAGAACAACCATATGACCCGTCTATTCCCACTCCTTGGAATTTATTCAAAAGAACTAAAATCAGCAAACTCTAGTAATCCAGGTACATCAGTGCTTGTAGCAGCCTAATTCACAATTGGCCAGTTATG